TTCTTCCATTCTGGATGTAACAAATAATCTGTCCCTGATTGGTTAAAGGAAAGATAACAAAAATGTATTTGTTGCAGTGGATATTCCAGCCCCCATAAACATTGCTGTTGATTGAATAATCTGTCATAGGTCTTTGAATGGCATTTAGAAGTGATACACATCAGGAAGAGAATGTTTATGGAAGTCGACAAGTGTTGGCAATTATGGCAAAACCATCCCATGTTTTTAGTTTTATACAGGTAAAACGTTTAAAACTTAATTCCACCTCAAGTCTTCATCTGTAAGTAAGGGTAATTATTCATTTATTTCCATTTCACAGTCATTAAAAGCACTTTGAGTGTTAATATTTGAGAGTTTTGCTATCGCATCTATGTGATTCAACACATTAACTGGACTCGTGTATCTTCGGATGTAGATAGTGAGATGAATGGGAAAGATGCAGGGGTGCTGACCCATGATGTGAGGAGATGAGCCCTCATTCACCCTCACGAGGCTGCTGGTATGTAGGAGTGCTGAAACAGGCAGCTGACCCATGATGCAGGGGTGCTGACCCATGTCTGAAAGTACTGTATGTACTGCCAGGATGCTGACCCCACACCAGAGACTGACCCTGCAGGGGTGCTGACCCTCACCTGTGGAGGGTAACCCATGATGGAAGATGCCAGATGTTATTCCCTTCATGGGTGACCCAAAGGTGATGAGTTAGGGAATGATGTAGGATTGGGAGGAAGGTATGGACTCACTGGTAAGAAAGAGTGTGCATGTACCTGGAAGGGTCCACTATGAAGATGTCACCTGTATTAAGTAGGGTGGTGTGTTTCATGGGAGGTATGTAGGGAATGACTAGATTATATGTTCCAAATTTGTGGAAGGGTTCAAGATGTTCGGTACCGGTGAGCAGTTGAAGGGTATATGAAATGCAATGTGTGAGATAGCAGTTAAGTGCATAAGATCATAAGAGAAATTCATATCTACAATGTTTTGGTTTATATTGTTATATATTGATCTTGACGTTTTGTTTTCTGGTGTCCCCCGCCGTGATATTGCTGAAATTGGCGTAAAACCACACTCACTCACTCTTGACATTTGAGGCGTTTGTTTGAATCATTGTTGCTTTTCCTCCAGTAAACTGCTCTAATACAACTTCATTTCTTCAGAAGGAAAAGGGGCGGCGGGGTAGCCTAGTGGTTAAAGCGTTCGGTCGTCACGCTGAACACCTCGGTTTGATTCCCCACATGGGTACAATGTGTGAAGCCCATATCTGGTGTGCCCCGCCGCGATATTGCTGGAATATTGCTAAAAGCGATGTAAAACTAAACTCACTCACTCACTCATTCAGAAGGAAAATATTGTATGGCTGTTGAAAAACATAAATAAAGCACAATGTTTTCTCTCTCCTGTACGTTTCTCAACTCTTTCCTGTTCTCTTTCAAAATGCTGTGTATCCAGCCTTCTTATGAAAGTCCCGTCTCTAATCCCTTTCCCCTCAGCATGCTCCGAGCTCCAACTTTTCACACCCTGCCCCACCCCACCAGTTCCACATCAGAGACGGAACTAATTACAAAGAACCCCAGCAGATTCAATCCAAGAGACAATGACAAAGCCACATGCTGTTTCCAGATTGGTAAACCAGATGCTAATTTATGTTCAAGCAAATGTATCTGTTTTAAATAGCTCTAGACAAAGATGGGAGCATTTAACAGCATGGATGTAAAGTTATGTAACATAATATTGTGTGTGTTGGGGAAACCCGATATCTCCAAGTAGGCTCTTCTTTGTCACTTCTTGAGGGATTCTGTGAACTTGGTTCTTTATCAGGTCGAAGCATTAGGCCATGTGTGTTAGGAGCTTGTGGATGTGGGCACTGCAACGAGTTTAGAGAACCATTTGGATGTTATGTGAGGGGGGCATGGGTGTCTTCTATGGAAGGTCGAATGTGATGTTGGCATGTCACTTGGTATTGTCACGAGTATGAGTGAATGACATTATCATTTAGAAGGTGGTGATATGCTACATATTTTGACAAATGAATATGTGAAAGTCCATGAATGCCATATCTATCCAGATGTCTTCTTACTAAATGCAACAGGGTACAAAGGTTGTCAACCATTACACAATGACTGACACAGATTCCTAAAGGTTGGTTGTTTTGTTTGGTAACATTTTGGATGTTTTGTTGATTACAATTTTTGTTTTGGGTGAATAACATATTCGGTTAATGATAATTACAAGAGGAGTGCATCTAGTTTTCTTTCTTCAAAAGGCAACATGACAAAGTATTTTGATTATTATTCATCACGTTTCAATTTGAGCAGAGGTCATGGATTTTATCTCCAAATGGGTCACATGTTGTGCAGTTACACTATTACGCATTTCCTTTAACAAAGACTGTTTAGAGTTATGTGAAACAGGAAATTAACATGCATATTGAACTTGGGTCTGTATTGTGTGTTTCCTGAAGTTGCCACATCACTTATAAATCTGTAAATGCCATCCCCTTATTGCTGTGTTCCTGAGTGTCTGGTTACATTGGCTGATGTCATGGAGTAGACCAGACCTAGCCAGCACTGTAGCCAGCACTGCAGGGACCTACCAGGGCAACACTAGTCACTGGCAGGAGAAATGCTTACATGTAGTATTTGCAAGTGCTTGACATATTGTTGACTCACTCTTCATGTGTTTTCCCTTCATCTTTGATTGCTGGTGAGTCGCTATGATTCTTTTGAAGAATTCTGAATTTTGATCAATCTTGTCAGGTTATTTATTTTCTTCCAAGTTATGTAGGATTTCAAATCTGTTATTGATGATAAAAAACTAATACAGACATGAAGATGATTGTTGTGACTGAGTAGAATTGTCAACATAAAAAAGTCTTTTCTCAAACAGGTAAACTTTTAAGAATATTGAATGTATTGAACTAAGAATCTTGCATTTTGATGCTTTCTGGTTATTTAATTTTTTTGAAGGTTGATAATTGGTGAAGCAGGTGCTGATTATGTCCTGAAATAAGTTGGTCATATTTAGAAATGAGTTTGTTATCAGACAGTGTTATCAAGTGTGAGATATAAGCATTTATCACATGATAAGTAACTAATGTTGCATCATATTACTTCAGTTGATAACATTTTTAAGAAACTAAACGTTTATCTAAGAAGTAACTGATAATTCCAAGTGCTGAAGTGACTTGTAAGAAGTTTGTAGAGGTTGGTCAAAACTGTTGATATTTTCCATTGGTAATACACGCAAGAGGCCTAGCACATTACGCAAGGGAAAGGTAAGAGGCTTAAGAGCTATGTGAGATAATCACAGCAAATCTCCTGCCTACAGACACACTCAGCCAGAGAATGTTTATTTCTGACAGGCATTTCACAAGGTGAAACTGCAAACACTTCTCCTACACCGCATGACACTTTGGAGAAATGCGACACTTTTTGTCATTCTGTCTAAAACGGAAGGGCATACAACTCTCCCGCCATTGCTGGAATTGTACGTTCTTGTATGAGGGCGGGGATGGCTAATTTCAAATTCTCACAATGATGACAATTTGAATTATGCAAGACGTATTACTTTTTTATGTTTGTTAACAATTGAAGTGCTAATTCAAGTTATTTGCTTTTTTTATTATTTGATCACTGAATTGCATGTTTTATCCCAAAAATGAAAATGTTTTAAATTTTGAACAACTGTTTTGATGAACTTTAGGAGAGAATTTTTATGTAGAAACTCAACAGTTAGCAATTTTTAATTGTTGTTTTCTTAATTGGGAAAACATTGTAGGACAAAAAATGGAAAATATCTCTTCCAACAACTGACGCAACTGATTTTTGATACTGTCATATAAATTTGGTCATTTCTGCTTCATATCAGGACAACACTGATCTGGCCTCAGTAAATATGTAGGCAGACTTATTGAATTTTGTGTTTAATTTTGGAATTGTGTTTACAGAAGTGACACACTGGTTTTGTAAAGTCTGTTTATACTAATGAAGATATGACCTTCTTCAAATACCTGGAGCTTCTCTTTCATAATATGTTCATAGAAGAATGGAGAATGTTGGATTTTGTTCATGTCTGTTTCTCTTGATGGAGAAATATGTTATTGAATTCTGTTAGCAGTGGTTATATTTCATGAAAAGGTTATTGAGATATATTTTCCTAGAAAATTGTTCATGATGAGAAAATTAGATGCAGCTAGTTTGAGACATTTTCATAGAATATTCAGGATCAAATATCCAAAAATGTTTTGGTCTCCATTTGAATTCTGTGGTGTCGCCCGCCGTGATATTGCTGGAATATTGCTAAAAGTGGTGTATTACTAAACTTACTCATTTGAATTCTGTGCTCTCACTGTCCTGTTCATAGAAACAGATGGGAAAAGATATTTACACAATTGCTACAGTGGGTTTTGTTTATTGGTAACCGGGGCGGTGGGGTAGCCTAATGGTTAAAGCGTTGGCTCATCACGCCGAAGACCCGAGTTCGAATCCCCACATGGGCACAATGTGTGAAGCCCATTTCTGGTGTCCCCTGTCGTGATGTTGCTGGAATATTGCTAAAAGCGGCGTAAAACCAAACTCAGTCAGTCAGTCAGTTATTGGTAACCAGGGGCGGTGGGGTAGCCTAGTGGTTACATGGGGTAGCCTAGTGGTTACAGCGTTCGCTCGTCACGCCAAAGATCCCGGTTTTGATTCCCTACATGGGTACAATGTGTGAAGCCCATTTCTGGTGTCCCCACTGTGATATTGCTGGAATATTGCTAAAAGCGGCGTAAAGCCAAACTCACTCACTCACTGTTCCATGGTTGGATTTATCCAGGTAGATAAAACATTAGCTCATTAAGAGCAGGGTTATCTTCCCCATTATTTAATGATGTAGGTAAAAATGGTATCAAACTCTTTCAATCATTTATTGTAAACCTGTTGTGATGTTGATTGTGTTGTTGACATAGACATCTGGTGTAATTTGTGACTGGTTGCTTACTTGAGTCCTTTATGTTTCAGAGCATATTGACAGAGGCATATGACCAAAGAGAGGTTGTGGACTTGGTAGTGGAGCGTGGTCAAAGCTACCTTCGACAGCACTCAAATATTGTCTTGGAGGTGGACCTGGATAATCTGGTCTATCTGTGGGATACATTCAGTGACAAACTGAACAAACTCAGCTCTCACTCCTCCCTGTTACAAGGTGGGAATCCTAGCGCGCTCAGAGGCGATCACTCGTGTCAGAGGCTGAAGACATTGAGAGAAGGCTTTTTCGGGATAAGCTCTGCCCAAACAAGCCAAATTACAGAGATGTGGATGTTTGTTACTTTCCTGATCGGCCCAGATCTGAGGGATTAACACGTCTGAGGTTGTCCCCACGGTTCCTGGATGGTGTCAAATATGGGTCAAGGTCAGTAGGGTCAAGGTCAGCAGGAGCTGAAGTGTTGGTGGAGAGAGGGAAGGAGAATATCCCACCCTCTCCGGGATACTGCAGGAATCATGACCATCATGAGACTGATTTAAACTCAGGGTCTCATAATATTGAGCTAATATCAAAGGTTTTAGGGAGCAGTAATCAAAAGCGAGTCATGGAGCCCTTGCAGCAAGTGGAACTTGCCAAGGGTGGTGTTTTCGAGATCCATGTGGTCACTCCAGAAAAGAACGGAAAGGATAGTCTCTTGGATACTTTTGCAGAGTTGGATTTACCGACAGAAGCAAAACGGCGGAAGATGAACGGGGGATACTCCTAGCAGTATGAGCAGTCGCTCTGTGTCCCCGTCTGCATTCGACTGGTGGGATGAGAGTCGTAGCAGCACCCCAGGTGGCTCTCCGGCCCCACACTCACTGGTTGAGTTCAAACGCAAGTACCGCAAGGATGAACTGTGGAAGGCTATCGAGTCACATTACCAGTACTTGATGGGGAAAGAGATCATTGAGACATGCAGAGTAAGTAGGACAATAAATAAATAAATAAATGCACCATTTATAGCTTTAATATTATTTTGTATGGGTACTGGGATGTCATTCACAAAACATAAATAAGAATAAGGCATCTGCAGGCAGATTCAGAAATATTCACATTAAATAGACTCAGAAACCTGATTTCTGTCCGAGTGGTTTCGATGTCATGGGCTAAGAACCAATACAATTGAATGCTGTCTTATGCTCTAGAACTCTTAGGGATGGTAGGGTCGCCTAATGGTTAAAGCGTCTGCTCATTACGCTGAAGACCCGGGTTTGAATAAGTCAAATGAGCACAATATGTGAAGCCCGTTTCTAGTGTTTTCCCTGCTGTGATGTTTCTGGAATATTTGTAAAAGCAGCATAAAACCCTACTCACTCACTCTGGCACTTTTACTCCAACTCGACGTACCAGGTTTGTTAGTGCCTTACCATACCAGTACCCAAAGTGTCACTTCAGGCTTTTACACACTTTTAGCTGAGATACTATCATGTGACTGGAATACTGTTCAAAGTGATATTAAACACATCTCGACCCATGAAGATCAGGGTTAGAATTGATCGTCAGTTACCCATGCTTGTTATAAGAGGTGACTAACATGTCATCGTATCCCAATTGCGTAGATCGATGCTCATGCTGTTGATCACTGGATTGTCTGGTCCAGACTATTATTTACAGAGCCGCCACCATATGGCTGGAATATTGCTGAGTGCGGCATAAAACTAAATCGCACTCATTCGGTCACTCATGTCCATGTCATACTATAACAATCTGCATATATTATCAATATTAAACATAAGTTCATCAATACAATTGTTCACTCATTCACTTTTTGTAATAAGATTTAAGACTGATTGTTCCCTCAACAATGCTTTTTTGAATGTTTGATGATATTGAATGTATTGCTATCTGTTTCAACAGTCCACTGAGAGTGACCTGTCCCTGGATGATGAAGATTTCGCGGGTAATCCCAACGTTTCGTTTGCTGAGTTTCTTCAGCAGTATCGAGAACTCACGGAATGGCTGAATCAGATACATCTCGTTACCAAGAGAAACTACATGTGTCTTTCGGAGAAGTATCTGAACCAGGTGAGTTGTCACCCTTTGCTACTCAGGCAAAGTCATTTTGTATTTTTGAAGTAATGACACTTCCATTAGGTTTGGGATTACAGTACTGTCCTCGATTATGACAAGCAATATATATGATATATGTTCCTTGCTTAAAAGTATTAATTTTCAAGGGGCGTTGGGGTAACCTAATGGTTAAGTGTCCACTTGCCATGCTGCAGTCCTGGGTTCAATTCCCCCGCATGGGTACAATTTGTGAAGCCCATTTCTGGTGTTCCCCGCCGTGATATTGCTGGATTATTGCTTAAAGCGGCGTAAAAGCATACTCACGCACTCACTTAATTTTCAACCGTTTACTTATAGTCCAATATTCTACTTTAAGACATACCATGAGGAAATGCTGGAAAGGTCTCCTCGTCGCAAGTTCTTCAACGAGTATGCAAAGCAACTTTTGCTGCGCTACCCTCACATGAAGGATGAGATCGGTAC